GAGGGACCTTTAGTAGCTTCTGGTATTTTCCTGTTCATCTTAGTACTTTCTGTCTATCGCACTGCTGTGCATTGTCATTTATAAAAACAAAAAACGAAAGTATTGTTATTGTCTCAATGAGCTTCTATTTATCTTGGATGAACAAACGCTCAGACCTACAATGTAGACTCACTCCCTCAGTAGTACAGACAGACTCCCCGCGTAGTATAGACAGACTGACAGACGCACAGCTGTTGTAAAGATTTTGTCCCCAACATCCTGCTATGATTCACAGAAGACCTCAGTCTGGACTTTTGCTCTCTATATGAAGGTAAACCGCCGGTAAACTTTTTACGGTTTCAGTTTTTCGATGTGACCTCAACAGCCTACCCACCCTGTTTTTTTTATTTTTTATTTTTTATTTTTGAAGGCTTCATCTTTTTTTTATCTTGATAGATTCAAATTACGTCCCAAGTTTTTATTATTAAGTTTTTTCATCTCAACAGATTCTTATTTCACCCCAAGTTTGACTTGCTTATTGCGCCCCTTGTTTATTTCAGATTCTGACATAGGTAGTATGCCCTTTGCTTTCTTTCTGTTGTGTGCTTGATGAGTTTGTTGTGCTGGACAAGTTGGTTGTGCTGGACAAGTTGGTTGTGCTGGATGAGTTTGTTGGGCTGAATGAGTTGGTTGTGCTGAATAAGTTTGTTGTGCTGGATGAGTTGGTTGTGCTGAATGAGTTTGTTGTGCTGGATGAGTTGGTTGTGCTGGATGAGTTTGTTGTGCTGGTGGTGGGAGAGGGTTTTGGTTCCCTATGGTTTTGTTTGATCTAATTGTGAATTTATTTTTTATTTTCTAACTTTTTTTTGGTTTGGTTCGCTAGAGCAAGTATGGTTGTTCTGTTGTGTTATGATTCCCAGAATTGTTGAGTGTGCTGATTTCCTCAATTATTGCCCCTTTACTACCTTAGTCGTTCTCTGCTTTTTTCCCCGAAATGACTGTGTGCATTTTCCCTCAATCGTTTTCATGCTTATCGGATCCCCCACAACTGTTGCGTCTTGTAATTTACACAACTATTGTGTGTGTTGTAATTGACACAACTGTTGTGTGTCTTGTAATTTACACAACTGTTGTGTGTCTTGTAATTTACACAACTATTGTGTGTGTTTTGTAATTTACACAACTATTGTGTCTTGTAATTTACACAACTATTGTGTTTGGTAATTTACACAACTATTGTGTCTTGTAATTTACAGAACTGTTGTTTTTTTAAATTTACACAACTATTGTGTCTTGTAATTTACAGAACTGTTGTATTTTATAATTTACACAACTATTGTGTCTTGCAATTTACACAACTGTTGTTTTTTAAAATTTACACAATTTTTGTTTCATGAATTTCCTACCCTTGTTGTGCTTTCTTATTCTTTCAACTTTTTTTTTGGGG